TGGACATGGGCAACTATGGAGAATGCATCAAGATCAACAAGGAAGTGAGCAGTGGTCCTTCGATCAAGGGCAAATATTGCTTTGCCGAGATACCCATTCTAAAGATGCTTGGAATCCCTGTCAACAGGAACCTAAAGATTGGCATTTGCTTTCCGTCCAGCTGTTCGGCGGCGCAGATGGGCGTATTTCTCGGTAAAGTCATTCAGCAAGTGATTGGATTGACTAGCCCAATAAGCTTGGTGAACGAAAAAAGTTGTCGCACCAATGAACGGGAACCATTGGATGGCATTGCTATCTTGACTATGTAAGTGGAGGACCTCTGCCTTGAATAACCCCCCATATCACTAATTCCCTGATCCTCACAGTGTTCTCCTATCCATATTTGCTGCCTTGGCCCTGCTGGCCACCTTATATGATTATTTCCTAGTGTCGGATCAAGGTGAGTAGCTTTTTAAGATCTTCCAGTCAGATTCTTCAAATTCCACTTGCAGCCAAATTTCCCGCTTTGATCAAAATATTCTCTATACGTGCGACTTCGCGCTCACTCTTCCGCATTATCCCGCCGAAATCGAATCCGAATGTAATCGAGTGTCTGCATGGCATGCGCTGTTTGTCCCTCATCTGGGTGGTCTTTGGACATGAGTATATGTTCGGTCTGGCTAATCCGAACATCAATAGGATTAGCTTCCTTCATGTAAGTCGACTTAAATGATCTTTACCCATACCACTGGAGCTAGCCTAAATGTATACTGTATGATCTTCTAGTGGTCGGAAAGTCCCTTCGCTCAGACCATAATTCATGCGGTCTTCTCCGTGGACACCTTCTTCTTCTTAAGTGGCATGCTCGTGGTTATGGTTGCACTGCGTGCTATGGAGAGGTGAGTCCCTTCTCAGCTACTCACCCACTTATATTCTAAACAATCGGATTAACTTCAGATCCAAGGGCAAGCTGAATGTCCCACTGATGTATCTGCATCGCTATCTGCGTCTCACTCCAGTGCTAGCTATAGCTATATTAGCCTACATGAAGTTGATCCCTCTCTTAGTGGATGGGCCCGTGGCCAATGCGGGCTTCGATGACTATAAGCGATGTGAAAGAACCTGGTTCTGGACGCTGCTCTATGTGCAAAACTATGCCACTGACGAAATTGTAAGTGACGGTTAGGCTTAACATGCATGTCAAATTCACTTTCTTTTCTTCTTTCTTTAGTGCTTGCCTCACAGCTGGTATCTGAGCGTGGATATGCAGATGTACATACTCTCGCCCCTATTGCTCTTTGCGCTCTACAAGTGGGGCAAGAAGGCAGCCATTGGCACAGTTGCTGTCATCGTGCTGTTAACTGTATATCTCTTTACCACCATGATGGTCAACAAGCATTCCGTATTTATAAAGTAAGTGTTCAATGAGAGAGTTTTAGCAATTTCAATTGGTCCTACCAAATGTTCACTGAAATGAAACGAATCATTTCACATTAGCTTTGCTTGATCTCGAATTGACTCTACCGCATCTCTCTAGAACTCTAACCCAGCCCCAACTAATTTCTCCTCTTGCATAGGAACAATGATGGATCGCAGCGTTTGCTTTATTTCTACACCCATACGCACGCCACTCCTTGGCTTGTTGGCGCCGTCTTTGGCTACTTCCTGCATGCGAATCGTGGCAAGTGCTTCAAGCTGAATCGCTTAGCAGTCTGGTCCGGCTGGCTGATAGCGCTAGCCATAATCTGTACCTGTGAATTTTCACTGCTGCCGTACATTAAGTGGACCGGCCGGGATCTGTCGACACTATCCGATTCGCTGTACTACTCCCTCACGCGCGTTGGCTGGCCCATCGCTCTCTGCTGGGTGACGTTTGCCTGCGTGCAGGGCTACGGCGGAATGGCCAACAGTTTCCTCTCCTCCCCGCTGTGGCAGCCGCTGTCGAGGCTCTCCTATTCCGCCTACGTGTGGCACATATTCATCCAGGAAATCAATAGCAGACGCTATCAGACCAACACCTTCTTCTCCAACTACGAAATGGTATTGAACATCTGCTTAATGTGAGACCTTAGCTAAACTTTCTTCTTCTTCTTATTTTGATAGATGCTCAAATTCTGGGCGGACTTTGGCTTTACTCTACTTACTGCCTACCTGATGTACATCATCATCGAGGCACCGCTGGGCGGCTTGGAGGGCCTGCTACTACCCAACCGTAGACCCAGTCCCAAGCCAGCGAACGAAACACAGTCCCAGCTAAAGAAGGACCCTGAACTAGTTAGGAACAATCAGTTCAGCGATAAAGCGAATCTGCCGCAACTGGCGAATGATGTGGAAGCAGCTCAAGACGTACCCTCTAGTGCTCCAGCTGTGAACACATAATTTTTCTCTATAAAATTAATTTTGTTTATTATTATTTATTAACTATGTTAAGTGATTTTTTTTTTTTTTATGTAGTAAATAAATGTATTTGTATGTGAAACGAAAGAGAGAAATTTCTAATTGTCGATTCTAACCAGGGCTGTCATTTCAGCTTTTTTCTCGTCAGATCTGGCTTTATTTAAAGTCCCATTGCGGGAAAAATTCGACAACGGCGGGCTGCGGGAATTCTGGCTTTCAATAAATTAATTTAGCTCTATTTTAGCTTTACTTAATTTTCATTTATTTATTTTGATTTCTTTTGTTTTTATCGCTGTCAACAGTAAAAATCATGAATACAAGTGTCGATACATGATTTTATATCATACAATCTATCGAAATCA